TTATACATAAGTAATTTAAAAACAAGCATTTCTTTATAAAAACTTCAATTAAATTTCAATAAAATTAAAGGCATGCCCTCACTATTAATATTTAAAAAAAAATATATATATAATTATTATTATTGTATAAACTTAAAAAAACTATTTTTCCTCACTGTTAATATTTAAAAAAAAAAAAAAAAAAAAAAACTATTTTTATTAGGTTTACTAAAGACTTGCATTGAGTTCTATAATTTGGACCAGCCCAATCTGACTTACAAATTTTTGTAAACCAGATTGAGCCTGAAGCAAAATTTTATAATTATAAACTGAGCTAAAAAATTTGCAAAACTTTATAATTGCAAGCCAGTGCAGGCCTAAAATTTTGTAAAATTATATAAGCCATTTTTGCAGACCAAGTTGAAAAAAAAAATTAATATATGTAAGGCAGACTGGGTTAGCAAAAAAATATTAACTTTAAATAGGACTAGGCTGAACCAGAAAAAAAATTTTAACTCTAAATGTAGGCCAGACCAAGTCTTAAAAATAGACAAATTGCAAGCCCCTAAGGTTCACTATAATTACAACTAATAGATAGATAAAACTATTAAAAAATATATACCAACAGGTAAAATTAAATAACCATCATATTTACTAGTAACAAAATAGATTAAAAAAATATAAGACAATATTGATCTTACTATAATACAATGATCTTTTAAATGTTGCAGTATTTCTACTAAAATGAATAGCTTTGAAGATAGTTTAGTTTTTGATTTTGAGAAAGTATCTAGTTTAAAAAAAAGAAGCAGTATTAAAGAATAAGATAAAAATAGTAAATTAAGTTCAAAAAATATAAAAAATGTGAAGAATAATAAAAGTAATCATGAGTATAATTATAGTGAATATTATAAAAATAAGAATAGCAATCATATTAATGTTTGAAATTAGTTGGCTACAAAATAGAAATCAAAAATAGTTATCTAGCAAATTAGAAAAAAAAAATCTTAGAAGTATTAATTCAAATAAATAAATAAACCTTAAGTTTTAGGTCTTTTATTGCGTTTTAAATAATTTTAATAAGATAAAATTGCATTTCAATTGATTTGTATAATTTATTATATTAAGCTAGGCAAAGTTAATTTTTTTATTTTATAATCTGGCCAAGCTTGTTTTTTAAAATATTGAAAATAAAATTTGTTACTTCATTATAAAAAAAAAGCTTAGGCAAACTTCTCAAAAAAAAAAAATAAAGTCATTTAAAATATATAAATCCCTGTCTACTTTGAGCTAGTTATTATACCTTCTTTTCACTAAATAAAAGTCGAGACACAAATTTTCATATGAAATTTTAGATACGTCGATCATCTGACTATAATATCGGGTGACTGTTATGCGAAGCATATACCGTACTAAAAGTCTAATGCTAAAAAAGAATACTACAAGTGAATCTCGATATAAGAAGGGTGGTCGGGTCGATAGTAAAAATTTTACCAAACTTTCTTATACATATCAAGAGTTTATTACTTATATCAAGTGAATTTTATTAGTCTTTATATCGAAGGTTTCTTATATCGAGAGTCACTTGCATTTACGAAAATAATATAAAAAAAAAATTGAGAATTTGCCTCGAATTGCGTGAAATAATATGATCTAACCGTTTTTTTTTCTCTATTATTTATGATTGCCACTGTATTGTGTTAACCGTTTATGCTGGGTTAACGGATTGTATCGGGTTAACCGATTAACCAGGTCAGCTGATTATTTTAGCATTTTACTCAATCGGTTGACCAAGTTCGGTTTGGTTACCCGATTAAGGCTTAACTGGTTCAGATAACCTTAACTCTAATTTCTAATCATAAATATAGATTCTCTAACGATAAAGAAGCATTTAGGTTATTAATAAAAGTTTTAAAAATAGTAAATTCATTGTCACTATATTAAGAGTTTACCTGTACAAAACATTTCGTAATATCACTATAACAAGTCTAGCGTTAGACGCATGGACCTAAAAAAAGTTTTGCAGTCATTTTGGTCCGCAACATAAAGACTCGGCGGAGTCTAGCTTTAGTCTACTCTTCAACAATTTAAAAAATATAATTCTTATAAGTATGAAATCATTTCTGAAATCATTAAAAGAAGAATTTCAAAAACCTCTTGCAGCAAACGTACAGCCATTAGCTCCAACCAATACACAACCACAATCTTATACCAATGCACAACCACCTTCTTATGAAAATATTCCTGGTATACCACAAAACGGGAATGAATATTCTAAATTATTAGGTTATTCTTTATACTTCTTTGAAGCCCAAAGAAGTGGTGCTTTACCCGCAAATAATAGGATACCATGGTAATTTAGTTGATCTAATGTCATGCATGTTATCCGAATGCGCGAAACATTGAATTTCCGTATTTTTACTATAAATCAGGAGGCATAATTCAGCGCTTACCGATGGTCATGATGTTGGACTAGATCTGACAGGGGTGAATATCTAAGAGTTATGATTGCGGTTTACCTTTTGCAAATTATCAAATCATTTTATCTTATATGCTTGTTGCATTTTAGGGCTATTACGATGCAGGTACGTTTTTAAGAAATTTTTAAGATTTGGCATTTACTGAATCCCATTACTTATTATTAATAAATTGTTAAATCAGGCGATTATTTAAAATTCACATTACCATTATCATGGTCTTTAACTATCGTGTCATGGGGTGCTCTTGAATGGTTTGATGGGTATCAACTATCAGGTCAGACTGGATACCTTTACGATATGATCAAATGGGGCACTGATTGGTTGCTTAAAGCTCATCCCTCACCTACCGTATTGTATGTTGAGGCGGGTATAGACACAGTGGATCATGATTATTGGGGTCCTGATACAGGGTACTTATTTTCCTTATATTTTGTTAAAAAAATATTATCCAGATTAATATTCACATTACATGTATATCAATTTATATATAAAATAAACAGTATTCCATATCCTCGACCATCACTTTGTATCGATGCTTCGCGTCACGGTACTGATGTGGCAGCCGAAGCAGCAGCAGCATTAGCATCAGCTTCCCTTTTATTCCGCACAAAATTTAATCAACCAGATTATGCCAATTTGTTACTTCAACATGCCGTGGATCTTTTCAACTTTGCTGAAACAAAACCACACCAAGTGTACACAGTTGCTGTTCCACAAGCAAAAGAAGCATATGAATCCTCACGTTATGACGATAAATTAGTTTTCGCAGCATTATGGTTGTTTCAAGCAACAAATCAAATCGGTTATTTAGATAAAGCAGTACACTATTTTAATGAGTTTTCACAAGATGAATGGACTAGCGCAATCAATTGGGATGACCATTCAGGTTCAAATTATATTTTACTTGCTATGCTTACAGAAAGGGCAGGAAGAGATTGTTCTCCATGGAAGGCAGAGGCAGAAAAGTATTTAGATGGAATGGTGAACCAAAGACATAAAGAGTGTCATCTTACAAATGGTGGATTATTATGGCTTAAAGGTGATAGTGATAGTGCTTCACTAAACGTGGCGCTTAATATTTCATTCGCATTACTTGTTTATGCGCGCCATGCCACAACCCCAGATAAAATTCGATCGTATACGAATTTTGCGGTATCACAAATTGATTATTTGTTGGGAAAGAATCCGTTGAATAAAGTTTATGTTGTTGGTGCACACCACAGTTCACCAAAGAATCCACATCATGCTGGTGCGAGTGGAGGAACTGATATCGGAAATATACGCCATCCGCCAGTGTCAAGGTATGTTTTATACGGCGCTGTTGTTGGAGGACCAGATAAAAAAGACAGATATAACGATGATAGAGAAGATTATGCTAGATCAGAGGTTCGTTCATAATTTAATATCGTTAATTGTTAATGATTAATTTAGTAAAAAAAATTTTCAAATATCAGGTGACACTAGATTATAATGCACCATTTCAAAGTTTAATGGCTTACCAAGTAATGCATGCTAATTATCCACCACCTTATCTCGCTTTTTAACTGCTTAAAATGTTTTATATTCAAAGTGTTGATATGTGGAAAGGCAAATGATAACATGTTCCATCGATTATTTTTTTTTATTTGTAATAGACGTGTAGTTAAAATTTACATTTTTTTTTTAAGAAAAAAAATTCAAAATTCGAATAAATGACAATTTAAATTCCTTGTTACATATTTTTACCCTTCGCTTAATGAAGGATGTAAAATTTTGTTCCAAGGGAAAGTTGTAATTGCAACATTTTGTAACCAAGGAAAAAGCAATTTTGTTGTGTGGCTCCACCAATAAATTGAAAAAAAATATCTAGGTTCATTATATACAGTGCTTATTAGCTAGTTATTCACGCGCATTTATACTTGTTGATCGATGTTTTCCACCTATCAAACCGCGACAGTTAGGTGATCCACAAAAACATTCTTGCTCTTGAGCACCACCGAATGTGGAGAAGTTATAATCGTAAGTTAACTCAGCCCCTGGTGCTATATCATATGAAGCAAATACGCCAATAAAATGTTCTCCATTTGGCGCTCTCCTATCAATTTCAATAGTATTAATTAATACGCGAACCCATTATATGCAATTAGTAACATTTAGTAACCTTCCACATACCATTTTTCAATGTGACAATTTGGTGCACAGCTTAATTGCAAGAGAAAATTAAATTTAAAGGGTTTGATTTTTTTTTACATTAGAAACACCAAATAAAATCTTACCTATGATTGATAAATCTAGCTAGCGTTCCACACATAGCACCATCAACAACTTCGCCTTTGTCATATTCAAGGAAGTACACGCTCTTTCTATGCAGATATTTTGTTTCCATCCTCTTTCTGGCCGTACATTTAGAAATCACCTCACCTCGATATTCTAAAATCAATTTATCTTTTTTAATTTTAACGAGTGTGCGAAGTCCAAATCCCCTGTTTTTAGTCTGAATCATCAAGACAATTGAAAAGGACATATAATCACAAAGAAGTATAAATAAGATAGTTACACATTCTCTTAATGAAATCGAGTGATATATATATACCTTAAACACCTGTACTTTTTTAACTGATTCTTTCCTCTGGAACCTTTGATTAGAGCATTGCTCACCACAAGGACAATGTTTTGGAGAGCATTCGTAAAACATTACCCTTAAAATTTACCGAGTTAATTATAAAAGAAATGACCGAAACTAAAGAATCAAATGATATTATACCTATTAAAACATTCTTCGGTGCAACCAATTTCACCTTCACCACATGGCTTGCAATTGCAAACGATTGGATCATCATCTTGTTTACGTTTACGATCGACAAATATATCTAAAATAAATCGATAAATAAATATAACTTAAAATCTTTTTTTTTAAGAAAAAAATTAAAAAAAATAAAATTTTAAATAGACATACTAGTTTTAATCTTTTTAAATCCTTTTTGTAGCAACCCTTGTTTATGAGCAGTCATTATATCCCAAGGAATACAGAAATCTCGCTGATCTGTTATGAGAAATTGACCATATTGCGTAGGGAGCGGAAACATTTCCGCCGAGGCTTTCACTTTATCTTTGCCCTTTGAATTTTTTTGGAGATCGTTTAGTTTAAGATCAATAGAATATAACCCACATTTCAAATATTCTTTTCGTTCCCAAGGTGACGGTTCATCTTGATATGTTTGAATCTCTTCTAATTCTAATTGAGATGGTTTCTGGATTTCAACTTCAGTACTTTCTTTGATTTCTTTGATTTTCTTCTGTTAACAAAAAATAATCAAAAAATAATGCAATTAATCATCTGCGCTCGATGAGTAAGTATATTATGTGATTAATGACATTACTTTTCGGCGCATCTTTCTTCTCACTTTTGAAGTTGGACTGTTTTTTGCAAGTTCAGTATCTCTACGCTATATTGAAGTAAAATCAAAATGACGCGAATATAATTCGAGATAATTATAATTATATCTGTTAATCTAATCGTCTACCTTGGCGGTTCTATTCATCAGGATCACGCTGAGAGGTCGATGGAAACCTCTTGTCTTAAAGCTATTAATATAATTTACCCATTATAATTGATACTTTATCGTGTAATTAATTATTAAGTCAGCACTTACAAAATACCGCACGCATTGCACAACCATCCACCCTCTGGGTTCTTGCGCCAAGCAGAAGCCATCCTTACTTTACAATCAGAATTGCTGCATTCGCAGCCTGCCGGGGCAGGTACAAGTGGTTTAAATAGTCGCGGTTCACAATCCATAATGGAAGATTTTCGGTCATACGCGTATGAAGTAGACTAACATGTCATAAAAATGTGATTGATGATCATTTCCTATCAGGAATGCTGATGATTTGATTGGCCACATATAGGAAGAAATCACGTGGAAAGATTGATTTTATTGGATAATTCATCAAACATGCGCCCTGGTCTTTTATGCTAACCAAAAACGGTTGGCGAAACTAGAAACACATTTATTTACGTGTTATAACAATAACGAACGTTTGAAGCGTGTGCCCAATTTGTGGCGCAGACAAATCCATTGATATATATGTTAAAAGAAATTAAATATTTAATTTACAATAATTAATTAAGTATTTAAAAATCAATTTTAGTGGGTACTGTAAAAAAGAAATAATAGTTATATAGCTGGTAAATGTAAATAAATAAATAAAAAGAATACTTACATCCAGGATTGTATGAAATAGTATGTTTTAACGCTAAAAAAAATTATTTGTTGCATTACGACTAATTTTGATCGCCATTTTACTATAAAACTGTTCAGTTTTCTTCGTGTTTATAATGTACCGGATGTCTTTTGCTAGAATCACTTATGTACATCTAATTAACTATTTTCTAGGACAGGATTTTTCTAGAATCACTTACTTATGCGCGAATTGAAGAATAATCAAACCTTATGAAGGCAAATCTGTTCTTTATTTATACCACCAGTTTGTTTATTCTGTAACGGTATAAAATATTTTGTGTCTGTGTAATTTATAAAATCATGTGATAATATTTACGTGTGACAAATCGATCACTTCAATATAATAAATATAATAATTGCACTAACTTAAGTTACTCCGATAAAAATATATCAATATTTACGATAATTATGTCAAAAAAGTTTTTTGAACAACTTTCAAATAATTATATCGAACTCCTTGATAGTGGGGAAGATTATAATGTGATTATTGAAGTGGGTAAATCACCAAACTTTAAAGAATTTAAAGTGCATTATTCTATTCTGAAATATAGATCTTTATACTTTCGTAATGAATTGACTAAAAAAGAAGAATTGACATTGACTAAAAGAGAGTCAAATAATATTGTAAAAATAACATTAAATCCACATATTTCTATTCAATATTTTGAAATTATTATTAGGTGAGTTATTATTTTGTAAAAACATACAAGTAAATAAATCCAAAAGATAATTTTTAATAAATAGTTTAATAAACAATAATTTGGATATTACTGTATTAAGGTATATTTATGGTGGAGTATTCTCTTTAGAAAACCTTGATGCATCATCTACTTTTGATCTTATGATAGTTGCATGTGAACTTCTTCTCGGAGAGTTAACAAAGCATCTTGAGACACATCTTATTGAGACAGAGGCACATTGGTTACGATCACGTTTCGCTTATGTTTACAAAACAAGCTTTGGAAATAATCAACTTCAAGAATTACAAAAATGGGGTAATAATATCGTAGTAAAATATCCAGATATTATTTTTGAATCGGAAGAATTTATATCACTTCAAGAGAATGCACTTATTTCACTTATCAAACGTGATGATTTACAAATGAAAGAAATAGATATTTGGAATTATGTTATTAAATGGGGAATTGCAAAGAATCCAGAATTACCATCAGAACTTAAAGATTGGACACGTGAAGATTTTCAAACTATGAAAGATACTTTAAAAAATTGTTTGCCTCATATTCGATACTTTCAAATCTCTGGAAATGATATTGTTAACAATATACGACCATATAAAAAAATTCTTGAAAAAGAACTTTGGAGAGATTTAACTAATAGATTTATGGCACCAGATCAACCAATTTCATCAACGATTCTGCCACCTCGTATTCTTTTACAACAAACATTACCAACAAGAACGGCAGAATTGGAATCGTTTTCGAAAATTATTAGTGAAGAACATAAAGCTGAAATTGCCACATGGATTGATAAGAAGAAAACTAATGCGTATGATACAACAAATATCCCATATGATTTTAAATTACTTCTTCGTGGAAGCAGAGATGGATTTACCAAGGATTCATTTTGGAATTTATGTGATAATAAAGCGAATCTCGTTGTAATTATGAAAGTTAAAGATACAGATGAAATTCTTGGCGGTTATAATCCTCTCTTTTGGGATAAATCACTTAATACCTATAAAACTTGTGATGGAAGCTTTATTTTTTCATTGAAAAATGGTACCATTAAATCCTCTACTTTAAGTCAAATACAAAAACCTCAACATGCTCTTATGTCTTTTGCAGATAATGGTATAAGCTTTGGTGGTGGTGATCTTCACATGTATAATAATTTCGAACAAAATGATGGATGTTATTGTGCAAAGTACGCATATGAAAAACCTATTAGAAAAACTAACACTCATTTTGCTATAAGTGAATATGAAATATTCCAGATTCATAATAAATAAATAAACAGGAAAACACCTTTTTTTTTTACATTTGTATTGATTGATGAGACTGCACATATGCGTGATAAAGCGCATAATACATTTACTGTAAAATGTAGAAAATAAGTATAGCACCTTCTAACCTATTTTTCAATCTCAGATTAGTGAAGATAACAATATAATCTTTACCTAAGTTATTCCCATAAATCTGTGATTTAAAAAATTAAGGTAAAGAGTATCACAGGTAAAATGAGTTTCAATAGGGACCGCTCTATTGCTGTTAATTTTTTGCTCCAAAGAAGGTCAATAGGGTATCATTTAGAATAATAGGGTACCACTAGTACCTTATTGATATCCTATTGAGTATTATTATTCTAATTTATACCCCATTGACCTCCTTTAGAGCAAAAAATTGACAGCAATAGCGATGTTCCCATTGAACCACATTTTACCTGTGTATTGTGCTTATTTTCCACATTTTACGGTAATTCGAGAAATTTGCCCAGGTCATAAGGAAGAACTTTAATCGTGTTATATGCAATTTCAAAACACCTTATTCACATTTGATTTGCTACATACCTATCATTTTCTAAATCTTATATTTGATTACACTCAAGTCTGATTTAAAAAAGTATGTTTTTGAAATTCTTTACTTAAACTGGATTTTTTTTAAAATTAGTTGAGATTGTTATCGATCGCATCATGATTAATTACTTTGTTATCAATGTGGTCAATTTTAACAAAAATAATTATTCTTCTCAAAAAAAAAAAAAAGACTAAACGAACGAATGTTCAGTTCTGAATATTAACTAAACATTTTGATCACTGTCTCTAAATTTTTTAATCGTTTGATTTGTCAATTGTAAATTAATATATAAAGTAGAAATTGAGTTTTCTTATTACTCTACTATTTAGAATTTCGTCGCAACTTATCAAAATCAACTGAGTTCGGATTTATAAATATATATTTTTTAACAATCGATCATAAATATAAGGATTATTTAAAATTATATATATTGTTTATTAATTTATTGTTTTTTACAGAATTATGCAAAACCTAGTTAATCATAGCTACGTTAATTAGAGAATCAATTCGAATACAAATTATTAATAGTACCGTATAGCGTGATCCAAAAGTGCCCCTATTATGAATACATTGTATCCTAGATACTAAAGATGGATAAATTGTAAAATATCCATGGCAACCCTCCGACTATAATATCCGTTATCCGTATATGTAAACTAACTTATAAAGTACCCGGATATTTTAGTCCACGCTGTATGTTAGATTTTCATAAAGTATAAAATTCTTTATATAAAATCGAGTTCTGTAATGAGTAAAACGAATATTAAAGTGCTCGATTTATATTCGCCGGTCTTATTTGTAAAATAACTATTTCTACTAGTGTATAACCCGTGCCTGTAGCACGGAAGCAGATTTTTTGAATTAATATCGAGATGTTAACGTTAAAATATTTATATTGATATTAAAATAGTATATGTCATAGCATACATTGTAAAACGAATAGAGTCATTGAAATAGTGAACACTCTCTACTGTTAAAGACAGGCCCTAATCGTTGAATTATAACCAGTTGAAATCACAAAAACACCTGCTTCTGGAATTCTTATACTCATTGTTAAAGGATGCTTTTAGGCATCTCTGGTCAGAGATTCCAAATTAGGGGGACGTTTAAAGCCTGGCACCTTCCGGTTTTCCGATTTTTAATTAATATTAAGGGTTAGGGTTATACATAGGCTAGAAGATTAATAGATATATAGTAAAATCGCATTTCCGACACTTTTACTTAGTGTATCAAGACCAGTTTAGGTAGCCATTTTTTATATTTTCGTGTTTTTGGCTTTGTCAGGTTGTTCGGAATAATGCGGGACATGTGTCGGGAAATTTCGGAATGTGCCAGGCTTTAAACGACCCCCAAATTAACAGGAGGAACAGTCGATGTTACACAAGACTGTTACACAATTTAAATAAGATTTTTTATATGGTTTTACAATACTTTTTTAGAAAGCCGATGTAACTTATCTATTTTATAAAATGTGATTAATTTACTAAGCAAACTTGAAGCTTTTGTGCTGTATTATAACATATTTTTTTAATTCCTTAACTTTTATAATATGGTTTGTTTAATAAAAATATGTTTAACACTAAGCAATGCAAAGAATGTGAATCTACCAAGTTATTTAAATTCTGTCAAATAGGGGCAGAAAAATAGAAAAAGATTAAGTATAATAACTTAGTAAAGGTAATATGGAATAAGAAAACTGTTTTATATAATAAATACTATATGCAACTTGTAGAAAACTCATTACAATATCATTAATATTTAAAA